TCTTAATGACATTATGCTAATACAAGTGAAAACTGGAACAAGAAGTCAACAACTCAACTGTAGATTAATCTAAAATACAACTCTTTTACATAACATAATCCTTATGCCAAACCGGTACAAATCTGACCCGAGTAGAGCGACGCGGAACCGAGGAGGCATCAGTATCGGGTAGGTCTGGTTCCAGGTTAGCATCTGATTCTCTAGTTACACTTGGAGAGCTTACACTGGATTGCATGGTTACATGCTGTGAATCATCAATGACATCATTATCTAATATAGTAACAATTCATTCCTGAGTAAGATGAATATGACGTCTATTTCTACGACACTCTCTACCAGTTTCATCAGTAATCATATACGATCTGGGTGTGTCATGTTTTCCTGTAACTATAGCACGTGATAAATGTTTATCACCTGGTTTCTTGAACCTTACACTATCCCCTTCCTTAAGTTGAGGTAGTTGTTTGAAGCCTTGGCGATCATAGAATTCTTTGTATTAGCTTGTCGTTTTAATTTTCAAGTAATTTTGGAACATCATGACAGTTCTGTGGTACTAAGACTAAGGGGTGAACAGGAACTCTTGTGCGGATTTGCCTACTAAATAACATTTGGTTAGGTGAATAAGGAAAATTGCTTATTGGTGTGTTGCGGTATTCCATCATACCTTCATTCAAATTGCGCTCCTTTCTTAGTAAGTTTTTAACAATGTTGACCGCCTTTTCTGCAAGACCGTTTGCCTGACTATATGTGGGACTGGTTGTCATTATGTTAATGCCATATTGCGTAGCATATTCCTTCATTTCTCTGGAGTTGTAGGTCATGTTGTCTGCAATTAGAGTTTGTGGATAACCATGTCTTGAGAAAATCTCACTTAGACACCTGATAATATCACTGCTGACTTTGCCATTGAGCCTAATAGCCTCAATGTACTTTGAATAATAATCAATGACCACAAGGTATTTTTGATTTTTGTGTTCTAACACATCTGATGCAACAATTTGCCAGGGCAATATTGGGATTTGTCGAGTTTGCCTGGGTTCTTTCGACTGCTTACTTTGATATTTCAGAAATTTTTCACAACAAGACACCATGTCTTCAATATGTTTATTCATGCCAGGCCAAAATACCGTTAAACGTGCATTAGCTTTGGTTTTCTCAATGCGACAGTGACTTAAATGCAATTTCTGAAGTATTTTTCGTTCTCCATATAAATGGAATGACAAGCCTGTTGTCCTTGAGAAGGATTCCATCGGTTACGTGAATATCATTCCTGACATTCCAGAAGGACTTTAGAGAAGGAGGTACATCACGTTTGTGTTGGGGCCAACCCTCCATGGCATACCTATGTAACAATTGCATAGTAGGATCATTGCAATTTTGCTGTCGTAATTCCATCAACTTCATATCCGAAATTGGGAGATCGAGAATTACACTATGAATGAAATGCTCCATGTCATGATGCATATCATCATCAGTAGGAACATTGGACTGATCGATTGCTCTTGACAGGGTATCTGCAATATAAAGAAACTTCCCTGGAACATATCTCACTTTAAGATTATACCTTTGCAGACGAAGTCTCATTCTTTGCGAGCGAGGGGGTACCTTGAAAAGAGGCTTTTTGAAAATACTTTCTAGGGGCTTATGATCAGATAGTACTTCAATTTCTGCCCCATACATGTACATATTAAATCTCTCACATCCATAAACGATCGCTAAGAGGTCTTTCTCAATTTGGGCGTAATTGATTTCAGAACTTGACATAGCACGCGAGGCATATGCCACTGGTTGATTCTGTTGCATCAAACATGCTCCTAGGCCGTTTTTACTGGCATCAACTTGGAGTGTCGTAGGTAAAATTATGTCATAAAATCGTAGGACTGGGGTGCTACTCAAGACGGATTTGAGTTTAGTAAGAGCTGTATCGTGCTCTGGAAACCAAGTCCATGGCACATCAGACTTAAGTAAGGATCGCAATGGAGCAGTTAATTCAGACATGTTTGGAATATACTTGGCAAGATAGTTGATCATTCCCAATAACCTTTACAGATCTTGCTGGCATGATGGAGTGGGCATGTTGTAAATAGCAGAAATTTTGTCTGGGTCTGATGAAAATCCCAGTTCACTAACAACTTCACCCATGTACTTGACTTTATTTACTCGAAATTGGATTTTGTCTCGGTTGAATTTGATATTGCGCTCTCGTGCCCTTGTCAACACCTTGCGCAATATCATATCATGTTCTTGTTCATCTCTACCTCCCATGATGATATCATCGAAAATTGGTAATGCACCTGAAATATCGCCAAAATGTTTTTCAATCATTTTCTGGGCCACTTCACTTGCACATGAAATACCAAATGGCATTCTTTTGAAACGAAATCGGCCAAAAGGCGAATTGAACACACGGAGAAATGAGGATTCTTCGGTAAGCTTTAGTGCCAATAACAATTTGACATGTCAACAACCAAGAAAACTTTGCAACCACTCAGAGTACTTGAAATTGTTTCAAAACTTGGTGGTTTGAAATCTTCCTTTTCAATGGCTTCATTTAGATCTGGTGGGTCTAGACACAATCTCAGAGTTTTGTTTGGTTTTTCTACGATTACTAAATTGCTAACCCAGGTAACTGGTTGCTCTACTTTGGCAATAATATCTTTTTGTTCAAGATCCATGAGAGTTCCTTTGAGTTTATCTATCAGTCTTAATGGGACATTCCGTTGTGGTGAATAGTAGGGTTACTATTAGCCTTCAACTTAATGTAATACTCTCCTTCAACACATTCTAAACCTTTGAAGACATCCTGAAATTCATCCAGAAGGGTGAATTGTTTTCGAACTTCATTGACACTGAGACCTATTTGTTCTACTTTGTTATTCAAGGTGATTAGCTCTAGGTCTAAGCATGATTCTAAACCAAGGAGGGGTCTTATATTATCTCGGAGTACATAAAACTCCAAGGGTGTTGAACCTTTAGCCCCTTTTACCTTCGTATCAAGAGGGCATTTGCCCACAGTATCTAGCTGGTGCCCCCCAAATGACTTGAGTAACATGCTTGTTGGCTGTACCTGAGCATTCAACTCAGTAGCCAAACCTGAGGAAATTACATTACATTCTGCACCTGTATCAAGTTTAAAACTTACGGGAATGTAATTAACAAGTAGATTTGACTGAATGTTCCTTTTAGTACTACCTTGAATTTCCTCGATGTACAGACCCTCCAACAGTTCATTGCTTTCGTGTTCCTCTATTTCCGCGTGACGAACACTTCTTTCTTCCGTGTCATTCTTCGATTTGAAGCAGCGCCGAGCATAGTGATTTCTTCCATTGCATTTGTGACACGTGGCTCCATAGGCCGGACATTTTCCCCTGTCATGAGACGCTGCACAGAATTTGCATTTCATTATTCTGCGCCAGTCTTCGTGTTTGGATTTTGCTGTGTCCACCGGTGGCTCTGCCTTCTTTACAGCGTCAATGTTATCCGTTTTAGTGGTTGGTCAGATGAAGATTTTCGACTGTTCCTTAGACTGCTCCGTGATTCTGCATAATTTCATGGCCTACTCAAGTGTCAAAGTCGCTCTCGTAGTTTGATATCAGTTATGCCAACCACAATCTGATCTCGTATCAGAGAATCCTTAATCGCTCCGAAATCGCAGTATTCAGCTCTTCTTCTGAGATCTGTGACAAATATGTCAAACGAGCGGTCTTCTTTGGTGGTCGTTCTGAAGACATATCGTTCGTAGGTTGTATTCTTTCGAGGAACACAATACGTTTCCAGCGCTGTTAAGATACCTCCAACAGTCCTTTGCGTGATATCTTCGGGAATATTAGGTAGAGTTTTGAGCACTCGTCTTGCTTTGGTTCCGAGAATACTTTGGATAGTTGCTATCTGTATGACATCTTCCTTTTCGTGAAGGCCACTCGATATCCGATACAATTCCCACGCTTCTTTCCATTCCTTCCATAGATCTGCGAGATTGAGACTATCAATATCCAATTCTTAGGGAGGTTTGATACGTTCCATGTCGAAGTTAGGAGTCAGAAAAGTTTCTTTGAAAGAGATCCAGGTACCATGTTATGAGTTCAACTTTTTTAAGAGCTTTATTCCGTGGTTTCACACTGCACGTGATCCATGAGATCATGTGACTTACGACCCACTTATCATAACACCCGATGTACCTAAGTTCGGCCCCGGACTACTTATGGCCTCTCTGATCTTTTAAATCCGCCTGTTTACCATTATCCATGTCTCACCACGCCGATGTCAGGTAGTGTTTTCAAAATGTCCACGTCAAAACGTCTTCTACGATGATCGATCGTCCATTTTAGACATATTTCAAGGCACAGAGAGCCTTTTAAGTTCGGCCGAAATAGCTGACAAAATCCCGTATTTCATGTTTTTCCAGGTGTTGACCTGTTTGAGTAAACGAGCGCTTATGTAAGCGAAAAAATGAGTCGAATTTGGTGAAGTCTTGAAACTCACAAGAAAAATAGTCGCCATCGTTGAAGGGCTTTGTAACCTAGTTTTTTAGAGGATTTCCGCTGTACTGAAGCTGTTCATCACATGGAGTATTATGATAACTTTGATTCTGATCTTGTGAAATATGCCTGAGTAACATAATTCTAGTTAATTAAATTTTCTGTTACCTAATAATATCTTTAAACTCCTTTGACTTCCAAAACATAGTAATCCTTTATTTGTAGAAACGCTAGTTTTAATAGAAAAATGTCTGATAGACCCACATTAGAAGCATTTTTGAAGTGAGAATTGAGAATTGAAAGTCCGTCATTAGCATATGCAGCGCCCACGACATCAACCGCTGACTGTCGTCGATTTCTCGGCATGTAAAGAAAATACGAAAGGCCCACCTCTTGCGTAGAGCAGCAGTTTGGGTTAAGTTATGCACGCGAAGTCTAACCTAAATCGTGGAACTCAGGCTTTCTTTATCAGAGAGTTGATTTCACTAAATAGGTGTCCCTCTCTGGCTAAAATAAATGTTCAAATATAAGGCTCATCTAAATTGAGGATTGTTTAGGTGTCAGTTTTGTTAAACAATGGCTAAACCTTGTTTCAATGATCAGGCCTTCAAAAAATTACACCAACTGAGAGCAAGGTAAATTTGTGAGAGAAGGGAGAAATGTAAATGTGTAACACCGGAAAAAGGGAATACCCAATTAAAGGAATGCCGAATTTACTGATCGTTTTTACTCCTCTCTGAGTTTTGTAGCGAACAAAACTGAACCAGCCTTGACAGAGGGTCCTTGCAGGGTTCAGTACATAACGAGGACCCAAATTCAGTTTTGAACATTTTTATTCGAAATTTGTATGATGTATAAGTATTTAGATCATAGAAAACAGTGGACAACAAGTTCTTCTCTGTGACAGAATCGTAGAACAGGAAATTCTTCTAAATACAGCTACAAAAACGGATGCGGATGGTTCGAGGATTTCCAAGACAGTTTCTGTGATTGGACAGAGCAATCAAAAGATCTTAAGATGATTTAAGAACATTTGTCAAAGGATGTTGATTACTCATTATAAGTGAATCCTTTCCTGAACGCACCTTCGGCCGAAGATGAAGCACAATGTTATATTCGCTGCATATTCGTTGTACAGTTAATCATTCGCTTGCACGATGCGTAAAAAAAAGTAAAATGAATCAGTTGGCAGAATGGCAATTTCCAGCTTTGCAATGAAAAATTCCCATCTACTCAAAGAAGACGTAAAGTGAAACCTAGAGAGAGCTTTTCATCTAATAAGATTAAAATTCAATTCCAGTGACACACTAATTATTCATATGGTTAAAGTTTGTTTGAAAGGTTCGTTGGTCTCCCAGTATTTGGTCCTATCGTGGTATCACCCCCCCCCCTCTTTGCCCTTTCTTTGAAACTAAACGATTGAAGTGAAGTTGAAGTCAAGTTTATTGTTTATACAAGCTTAGCTTTTGTGCGAAAAAACTCACCAGCCAGTTTACAGGTATAACACAGAAAATAGAAAATAAAAACTAAAATTGGGAAAAAACACATTCAACAATAAGTAGAAAGATATAAGTTTAAAATTTAAAATTGAAATCTATTTGTAGGACTAGATA